AACACTGATAGACAAGAACTAAAAAGGATAGTTGGCCTATAAATTGCCCGATTGAAGGGCAATTAAGTTTGTTTAAATAAATAACCTTGACCCATATTCATGGCCACAGGGTCAAATGTATTTAAATCTTCAAAGAACACATTGTAACATTACATATTTTAAAGTATATTTGTAGAAATAGAAGTTATTTTGTGTACACAATGTACCGGGTTTGTTATCTCTGGGTGAGCATTTTGTGTCCCATATCATACATATTTAGATTTAGATTAAAAAAAAAAATCATGTGAAAGTGTGACCAATTAAGATTTTATCTGTGTGTAATTAAGGAATCAAAGTTTTTCCACACATACAATAACCTCCACTTAATTCTGTTTTGGATAACTAGCATGACTGACTATAGGGTACTTACATTGACCCAATAACTCAGGCAAGTTTTTATTAAAAAAAAATGTATGTTTACGTTTTAAATGTGTACTTAATTAAACGCCAGTAAAAGCTCTAATGCAATAGTGAGTTTATGGATGTGGTGCAAGGATTCTTAATTTTTTTCTCCATTAAATGTTTGTTATTTCCGATAATGACTCGGCCCTAATCTTTTAAAATGATTTAAGTTCTAGAGAGGAATCATGTTACACATAATTGTATTGCAATAATGTTTATTTAACATTCGTTTGTTTGTGCAGACTTTCCGCTACCTGTAGGAGTGAGACTCATCACGATATATGTGACGGATGAGGAATATTCCGCTATCAAACCACAACACAGTCAGAATTCCCAGGGACAGTACAGGCATTGTGACCACTCAAAGTTCGTCTGGGGGAAAGCCTCGCCAGATTATGATTGCAGTAAAAAATCAGAGTCTCCAAGACGCTTTACAAAAGACGAATCAAATATCAGACGACCAAGCTCAAGAAACGATAGGAACTATAGTGGAAGAAATTCAAATATGGAAATTATTCCAGAAATTCCTTCTTCTGTTCTGTCTGACATAACTTACGTGGAATGTAAAGAAAAGTTGAAAACATCTGAGAAATCCAATGAGACTGAAACAATAGAAGTATTCAAGCAAAACGTTAAACCTAAAGGTAGAACGGAGTGTAGAAGTGTGAAAGGCGAGCTCCCGGGCCGTAAGATTGTAGTAACTGTTTCGGGAGAAGACAGTGAAACCATCAGTGACTTAGAGGACAATGAGGATGAAACACTACCAAATGTTTCCCCGAACAAAGACAAGAATTTTGTGAAATTTTTTTCCGAAAGAATTTCAGCTGACATTATTGTGCACCATTGTCCAGACCAGTCTGATGGGAGCACGGTGGACAACACGAGTGAAAAACTGCCGAAAATTGTCACCGATCATGATAGCACTAGTAACGCCCATGTTGCCATGGAAACGGAAAATCATTTGCACACCATAAACATTTTACCTGAGCAACAGGGACAAATCAGAAATCAAACGGAAAATAATGAAAGTGATGTTGTGATTGAAAAAAGTGGGAGAAGTGTGTCCCCTGTAGACCATTCAAAGGGACACAACTCTCCTGGAGTTTCGAGAAGACAATCTGCTGGATTTGTTTCCGAGTCCGAGGAGACCGGGACGGAGAGTGTGTATGGAATCTCCGCTAAGAGTTGCGATGAATCTGTTATGAGTTATCTCTCCTCTCAGGAAATTGAGGAAAATAAGGAGACCATGGTTTTCAGGGGCAGCAACTACGAGACGCCTGGCGAGGAATCCAGTGTTGACGGTGGGGTCACAGATCAAGGAAACCCGGCCAACGAGCCTGGTGATGTGACTGTAGACACTCCGGATACTTCCATAGAAACTGTACATAACTCGGGATCTTTTGAAAGCCAAACGACAAGATCAACCGTTGATGCAGACGTTGATTCATCGTTGATATGGTCACCAGAAAAACACGGCCTGCATGAATTGACACTTTACATTCAGAGACACTCAGATGTTTGTCTTATGTTACTGATGGAGGAGGAATCGGCTATCAATGAAAACGCATTGAAAGCCCTGGTGAGTTACCGTATTTATCCTCCAATAAGCCCAGTGGACCGACAGGTAATCTCAGACTCAAGCTATCAATGAATAACGTATTGAAAGCCCTGGTGAGTTACCGTATTTATCCTCCAATAAGCCCAGTGGACCGACATATAATCTCAGACTCAAGCTATCAATGAATAACATATTGAAAGCCCTGGTGAGTTACCGTATCTATCCTCCAATAAACCCAGTGGACCGACATGTAATCGCAGACTCAAGCTATCAATGAAAAACGTATTGAAAGCCCTGGTGAGTTACCGTATTTATCCTCCAATAAACCCAGTGGACCGACATGTAATCTCAGACTCAAGCTATCAATGAAAAACGTATTGAAAGCCCTGGTGAGTTACCGTATTTATCCTCCAATAAGCCCATTGGACCTGCATGTAATCTCAAGGTCAGGAGGTGGGCTTATTACAGGACAACGAAATTAGCATTAGTTAGCATTTTCATTGAACGGTGTAAGATTGACATGTGGATATTACTGGATAAATGTGGTATGGTCAACTTTCTCAATGATCCAAATATTTCACGATTTGTAAACCAGAAATCTAGCAAATTCATGCATAAAAAATATATCTGATGGGCAATAATACTTTAAAACCTAGCAAGGTTCAAAGTGTGCAAAATGATATGTAGATGTGAGTTGGTCTAAATAAACTGTATATAAGAAATTTCAATAAAATCATTCTCCTGAAGAGCTGTAACACAGTGAAAGGCCTTGAGAAATTTTATATCATATATTTTTTTTTGTATATCTACTGAACATGAGAACATATATAATACATTTTAGTATATTTATACATTGTATTTACCATAGCTTTTGCCTGATCCTTAAATAGCACATTGATATTGTCTTAAATAGCACATTTGGATATGCCAAACTCTTACATTTCCCTCCAGGGCCCGTTTTCATGAAACCGTTTTCATGCTCAAGAATGGATTTTATGCTTAAACCATCTTTCTTGTAACTCACATAAATCACGTCAAAAAATCAAAACGTCAAATAAAACATTGCAAAAAGTATTTGGCTTTAAATTTGTTCCTAAATCTTTGACAAAATAAAATTTCATTATTAATTTATAACCAGAACAAGAAACTAGACTTGGGCAATGGTTTCATGAACAATTAGGGCGCTGGTCTTTAACTTTTCCCATTTATAAGACTTGTTTTTTGTTTCAGTATAAGAGTTCGCTAACCAATATGGCTGAGCTGGATTACTATGTGAAGGAGTGTATAGCACAGTCCCCTAATGAGGTTGGTGTTATATTAATTAACTAACGAAGGAAACAAACGTAAACAATGCTGTAGGAGCTTGTCACCCTGGTTAAATACTGGTATGAGCTGGTCGCTTCCTACCGACTCGGCGAGGGAGAATTCCTCTATAGCTCATTTAATACAGCATTAAACCAGAGGTCCCGGGTCCAATCTAGAGCAGATGCACTTTAAATTTACATCTGTTATAATGGCGCCCTTGTAGAGACTTGGAAAATATTGACAAAAGTGCCCATCCTTGCTCTCATAGACATAACCTTATATGTCCCCTGGAAAAACTTGGGACAAGATCTTTCCTTATTGCCGAGTAATTATGCACCCTCGTAAAACTCTAGTCTCAACTTGAAAGAATTGATCTTAACTCATGCGGTGGAGGACCAGACTAGTAAATAAGGGGTTTGATCCCTAGTGAAAGGAATAATCGCGTGAAGTGAAATAAAAGACAAATTTATAATAAAAAGTGTCATTTTTGTATTGTTCTTTCATTACATTGAGCAATGATGTCAAATTCATATTTTCTTTTCAGGGTTTCATGGACAGCTACAATTTCCTGAAATACGATTCCTTTTTCCAGACCGTGAAAGGTTTGTCACTCTAACAGCTGTATTATATTTATAAACATAGAAATGCTTAATCAGCCTGTAAATACTTTTATCTCAAAAACTGAAAATTATCACGTTTTCCTGTTACTGGATGAATTCACCAATACATGTATTCTGTAAATTTTATGATTCAACACGTGAAATATTAACTATAGTGACGTCATAAAATGATAATGAAACAGTGTCTCTGACTACCAGATTACATTATATATTTTATGACATCACAAATTAGACAGACAGTATGTTTTTTCATGTTGTTGCTAGGCCCTCAAATGGAAGTTCCTTGTCCTCCCTACCATTTAAAATAAAAGACAAAATTAGTTGTATTCTTTTTTATTCCTACTTGCATTGATAATTAAAAAACCCGGTATAAATGTAAATATAAGGAATGAAATTTATGTTTTCAACAGTTATGAGGTCAAAAAAAAAATCAGGTTTCTGGATATATTTACCATAAATTGCCAACATAATTCATTTAATTTGTCCAGGAACCCAATGTTGTTATGACCTCATAAATGTTGATAAAATAAATTCCTTGCCTAAATTAGCAATTTATATAATAGAATGAAGTGTTATTGCACTGCATAACAGTCATAAAACAATGAGCTTATTTACTGTGTTTTAGGTAATGCCCTACAGCCTCTGACGGGAGAGGATGATGAGTTCCATCGCCTGGCCGGACAGATGCACAGTGACTTTGAAGAGAACAAAGGAATGACCAATGTCATATTCAGGTCTGGCCCCATGGCTTACATTATTCTAGATCTGCAGATTTATGAAATAATGTGCTTGTACTGTATTTTACCGGCAATAAGCCTCCTTTGGCAAATAAGCCCCCTCCCCACTTTGGTAAATGTCCTGGGAACAGGGTGGGTGCCTGCCATTAAGCCCCCCCCCCCCTTTTTGCAGGTGAAAAATGTGAAGTCGTTTGGAGAGAAAAAAAACGAAAGTTAAAAAAACATTTACTTGTGTCTGTGTTGTTTCTTTAAAATCTGCATCAACAGGTAGATTTAGGTTGTGCAACACCTTTCAAATTAGTAGTCAATAATTATAATGCTATATATTTTGTTATATTTGCACTTGTATTATTGGTGGGAAGTAGAATGAAATGCTACCCCAATTGGTTCAATTTTGAGTTTTGAAATGATATCTGAAATTCAATTTGTGATCATATATCTGGAAGGTTTCTTGATTTTTTACCAAAAACTACTCACAGTGGTTCATTTCCAGGAAAGGGTTTGATTCATTTCGAATGCTAAAGTCAGAGTGAGAATTCATCTGTTTTTCCGTCATGTTTAGTACCCAAAATGGTACACCATGTCACAGGCTATGAAACTTTTGTTCCTTTTTTTTAGCTGATGTGCAAATTGTAACAATATATATTGTTTTTAATTTATACATACAATACTGATCCAGGGTCGCTGAAGAAATTTCCAGATCATAGTTACATTTTTGCGCAGTGTTACAAACATCTGTATGATAAAGATGCTGAAACAAGTTGTTTTTGTACGAGTTGTAAGAATGGGACTATTGTATTTCCACACAAAAATCAACAACATGTTACCAGTTGTGTAGATAAAAGAACGTTTCCATGTGATATTTAAATCTAATGGTATTTTTTCCTTTCAAGTTTCCTTTACATGATTTGTAGGTCACATGGAGGCAGTTGCTATGGAAACAAGACCATCAATAATGAGACATATTTCTGCATGACAAACCAGGCAGATTCCAGGATGGAGTCCGGACCACTGAGCAAAGATCCAGTATTTTCGCTCGACCTGCTTGCCAGAGAGAAACTGTCAAAAGTGCACAAAATTACTCTGCTGTGATATTGTAACTCGGAGCAACATTACTTGTGGTACCACCGTGGTTTTCAAGGAACAATGAGATATATTAGATATGTTACTGTATGTACATTGTGATATTTATTGAGTAGTTATTATATTATTAAACATTTTATAACATCCAATACAATCTCAAATTTTGTTCTAAAAGTCAAATGTCAGAATCTGAAAACTATTTTGGGCGGGCCCTGGTAATTACTTAAAGGTGGGTAAAGCATTAACCAGTGGTTAGGGGAAATAGGGAAATATGAATACAACAAAACCAGAAACGTCTGACATCATTTAACTGTTATAGATTGGTCGAGACAAATACGATTGATGTGTCCTCTGATTTTGCTTTGGAAGCCTTTGCTTCTTATTGAATTCAGGCAACAATTTCAATTTTTCACTAACCACTGGTTAAAAATAGCCAACAAATGAGTAACTTGGGCCAGATGTTTCAATTTATTTGGCCCCATGCAGGGTCCCTAATTGTTACAGTAGGTAAAAATTGTGTCGCCAAAAAATATCGCCAAACTGAACTGTGACACGACCTGGTTTAAAGTGACGATACCCGCTTGCCATGATGAGCCCTTCTCACTGATCGTAATTATGATCAATAAAAGGTATCTAATTATGTCTTTCACCAGGAGATATGCACCAGCGGTTACTAAACATCGAATTACATATTAATTGATATGTTTTTGTAAGCAAGTAAATGTTTTATGTAAAATATTGCTAAAGTGAATTGATGTATGTCGATATGCGCACACGTGTGTGTCATGTGTCATCAGATATTTGAAAGGAAACAAACAACAAAATACACATTTTACGCAGTTTCTTATTAGTTTTTAACATCATTGTACCTGCAATCAATACTTATCAACTCACTCATAATAAACAAATTACAAAAATCTTAAGAATCCCAAGCGGTTTGTCTTTCATTTTCAGAGATCAATTTTCGGAACTTGAACATCGTTTTTTTCAAAAAATAATTGGTGTGCAAAATATTTGAGTAGAAGCCTTTTTTTTGGATTTTCAGCCTCAAAAGGTACCTGCGCAAATTACACAGGTTTTTACGGTAGTCCTTTTTTCTATTTTTATGTCATCTAATATATAATCTAAAAAGGTAATGTGAGCATCCTTTGTCAACTTTTCCTTTAAAAAGACAGAAACATTAGAAAGAAGTTTCACCAAATAATGTAAAGGAAATTATTATAGAGGAAGAGTGTGGCCCCATTGGGGGCAGAGAGGATAGGCCCACTATTAGGGGTTTCATATTTAAAACACTACTCTTTAAGTATGGACAAAAGGATTTCAACTTAATTTGGTATAAAGCTTCCCAGTCCTAGGGAATTCAAAGTTATTAAAGGAAGTTTCTGGCCCCCATTTTTGGGCAATGGTATGGGAAAAATGTGGGGGGGAAGGAAAACATTGTTACATGTATAAGATAACTTCTTTTGTATGTGTGGAGGGAATTTATCCTGATGTTTAATGAAGCATTCCAATGTGTTTGATTAATTGTAGCCTGTATTTTTGCAAAGGAAAGGGGCCCAATAGGGAAAATTTGGACAAATGAAGGGGTGGGGCCCAATAGGAAAAATTGGGACGAATGATAGACTATCAGTGGGGTATGAAGGGGTGGGGCCCAATAGGAATAATTAGGACTGATGATAAACTACAAGTTGAGCATGGAGATCCAAGGTTAGGGAAATTCAATGTTGTAGAAATGTAGGATGGCGCGGTAGTCTAGTGTTAGGACGCCAGGCTTGTGACCAAAGGGTTTCAGGTTCAAGTCACAGCATGGCACTGTATTGTATCTTTGAGCAAGATACTCTACTCCACTTGTTCCAGTCTACACAGCTGTAAATGAGTACATGGTTGGGCAGTGCTACAATTGTTGAATGCTAGCTGTGAGCGCCAAAATGGCAGCACCGGCTGTATGCTCCCCAGGGAGATGAGAGAGATATTGGCTGATTGTAAAGGCCTTATAATTGATTGGAATTATAACCTTGAGTTGACAGTTTGATACTTTGAACATTTTGAGCCAGCCCTGCCGCCAAGGGCTGTAGGGTGGGGCTCAAAGGAGTCAGTGTGCTAAAATTTCTTCATTTTCCTTGTTTAGAATCAGAGGTGCTAGTTTCAAATACTTTTTAGTCTGAAATCTGTATGCTAGATATTGAATAAGGAGTTTTTGTTGTTTTTTGTCACTTTGAATAATATTTCTGTTCATGTTAAAAACAAAATCAACTCTCTGTATAAATATATCAGGTGACCCTTAAGGCCCATGGGGCTCTTGTTTAGTCAACTGTTTTAAATTCCTTACTCTGCATTTCCTGAATAACAAAGAGGGTAGGTTTTGTCTGGGACACACTAGGTTAAAGAGCTACAAGTCTGTTCAATTGGATAACAGCGTATCAAGCTAAGGTCACAGGAGCTGAATGTGTTCAAACATTTACACCAAGATTGAAGTCTAGCTGAGCAATACAATTTGTGATCCAGAAATTTGAATATCATAATATGATTTTTGTGATTTGTAAAATTTCAAAAGACACAATAGGGACTCTAATTCTTCTTTGCTTGTTCAGATTTTGTTTTTCTGATGTGAAAATCAAAATACGATTTTCACTGACACAATACTTTATTACTTATAATTATATTATGTGGCTTTGAATTAGCAAGACCATATCAAAGAGACTGTAAACTTTAGTATCCCGAATGCAACCCTGGCCTTGACCCTTTGTAATTATCTTCCAACTCCATCTTCATTGTTTTCATCACAAAACATAAATGAAAAGAAGACACAATTTCTATCATTAAACAGTTCATTTTATTTATATCAAACATCATTCATTAGGCTTTAATAGCCAAATATAACTCGAGAAAAAGATCTGACTTCCTCCCAAATTGAATTTTCTTACTTATGTATTTAAATTTAGCTGCATATTATCAAGTGTTAACTTATCAATTGTCTTTTAACATTTTGTTTCTGTAAAGTTAAATAAACGTTAATGCTTTAAAATAAGCATGAAGAAGAGGACTTGATGTATTTGATCTAAGCCCCCCCNTATCATACTGTGCTCCTCAACCTATTCTTGAGTTTTAAAACAATAAAACCAAAAACGGAAATAAGTTGGCAAATTTCAAGTACTGGATGGATATTTCTGAAATTTCATATGTACTTACAGCACCTACCATGGAGTGCTATATCTTTACTTCATACCAATTATTTTAAACATATTCAGGTGAGTGATACAGGCCCTCTGGGCCTCTTGTTTTGATATTCAGCTCTGATTTCTTCACAATTCAAAGTGATGCTTTAGATGTTCCAATCAACCTCTATAAAATGCTAACGGTGTGCTTATATATCTTTTATTCATAGTCGACTTTGTCGGTCACAATAAACAATGAATTAAACCTTACATATAGGTAAAAACACAAAAAAAAAGCACGTCAGTCCATCCTCGATACTCCAGGGGTAACGCTCACTTCCGGAAGGCTAAGTGTGCAGCACCTTGGTGATGAGACGAGAAGGCTAGCTTGAGGTCAAAAGAATCTCTCGGTCGCGTAACGGTAAAATTGACTGACTTTGAAGTCGATCGGGTGTCGCTGCTCTGTACACTTCAAAGGACAGGTATCAGCCTAGTAGCGATTGGTATGGTTTTTACTTGATACCAATAAAATAGCTTTCAAATTTTGCTATGACATATTCCAGGGGTGCAGTGAGCGAAAGTGAGTGTCGCTAGAGTATCGAATGCTGTACGCGTCAGTCCAGCCTACAGCTACACATGTACAGACCTTTTGTCTGACGCTGTATACTTACAACCTCAGTCTTAGATGGCTTGTAAAGTCCGGATCCATTGACCGCGTGTTTATATATCTTTCACTTTAAAAACATAAAGAACGCTCTGCTCTATCAATGAAGAGCTCAAAGTAGAACTGAACGAGGAGTTAACTGGTCCATTGATATGGTATATGTAGGGCTAAGAACTTCAGACTGAATGAGGCAAACGAAGATTCAATCCACATCGGTATATAAATTGGCAACAAGAACCAACGTCAGATCCGATAGGATCTCAATAGGTTATATTCCTTAAAATCCATTTGATCTGTCTCTATAGGCAACAGAAGGTGAAAAATGAAATATCACGGGCCGCTTTCGTTTATCGCGATCCAATTGGCTGGGTCGGTTGGACCAGAGATGTTCGTTTGTGAAATAAGATCGGACCTTGTAATTTGATGTTGCTTTCAGGCGAGCCCTGACAAAGCCTTGGAAGGCCTGTATAAACATTTGTACGTCCGCCAGGATATATGCGAAAATGTTACTTTTAAAAACAGACAGGCCCCAAGAGACATAGTTATTACCGGGGAAATTTTGAAGGGACGAGAGACCTACAGCAAACAAATTGGGGTTTTGCCCTCCAAAATTTGAATAATGTAGAAGTTTGGGTTTACTTTGCAGACAAAATAAAAACAAAACAAAATATCCCTAATATACAAACAGACAGAGGTACCTTAGAAACAACCGATGGAGGTAAAGCTGTGATACTGAACGATCCTATCACGGAAAATTGGAAATCAAAGACCACATCGTTAAAAAATCTTGTGGATCATGGCCAAGATCTACTTACATTTGTAATCCCAAATATTCAAAGTTTCATTTAGAAATGAATGGTAAGTTACAATTTCTAAATATTCAAACGAAACCAGTGGTCAAAACAATACACCTTTGGAATTCTGCCGAAGGTATTAGAATCAATAATGAAATACAAAATCATGCATCATCTAAATTCCGAGAAAACAAACGGTGATCCGCTCAAGCAATTTGGTGTCAGAAAGGGAAAATCTACAAACTTGCAACTGTTAGACGTATTGAAGACACAGCGAGGTCATTGGTATTTAAACTACCAAAAAGCATTCGACACGTGCACGGTACCGCATTAAAAAGGGTGGAAGACGTTGGCATATATGGAAAACCGTGGTTGTGAATATAAGCATTCCTTCAAAATAGGAGAAAGAGAGAACAGGTGTAGAAGGAGCGAATTCTAGTTAAGACAAATGTCAAAACTAATGCAAGAAAATGAGGTAGAAAAGGAAAGTAGACGAGTTATCTCCCCTATTCCACCAGCGACTAGCGTCTGTCTCATTGAAAATTACATACTTTTCATCTGAATAGATATTTGGCTTTGATATTAGGTTTTTTTTTTTACAAAGCAAAACGCAGTATTCTAAAAAAAGTAAATCATGTTATGATCTGATTGAGATGTATCGTAAATAAATGATATATTTTATCACGGAATTAGATTCGACTATTTAAGTCCGTGATTTTATAATATATATATCAGATTTGAATTTAATGGTATTTATGGTCCATGGTTCATGGTGGTCGACGTCTTTGTAAGCATAATCCATTGCTTCTGTTGACGCTTCTTCATAGTCGTTCGCTTATTTACAGGTTGCGCAGAGGACGCGTACACAACTTAATATTACTATTAATAGCACGATGGTAAAAACTTGATTTATGTAGATATCTACTTTAGGATACGTGTATCTTGTGTTTTTAAACAAAAGTCTTTTCAACAACTAGCTGTGGCTGATTTCATAGAAAGATGTCAAAATACAGATTCTAAAAAAAAAAAAAAAATTGAATAAAATAAAATTAATACATCAATAGAATAACATTCAGATAGTCCGGCGTTCTTTATAAAATGAAATAAAGACAAAGAATGACAGAGCATACGGCTAATGGAAAAAATGTTAAAATCAAACGTTTGGAGGACATTCGTACATTCGACCATACATAATATCGGCACACAATTATGTTTGAATTTTGTTTACTTAAATCACGGACTTAGATAATCTAATTTCGTAAATAAATTCAGAAACCTGTAGTGTATTCAGTTTATCCAGGCTACCTTGTGTAATGTACATCTGGCTACTGAAGTCGTGTCATCAAAAACTTTGTGCGGGTTTATTTATTTGTTTATGTTACTCAATTAAGTTATCATGTCCAGATATCCGAGATGGGGGGGGGCTTTTAATTTTTTTATTTATGTATTTATCAGTATAGTCCCAGAGACGTTTTGTCATCGCTCTGCTGGCGTTGAAGTTTAAGTACTTCAACATCAGACAATCATCCCATTAAAATGTATAATATAAAATTTCTACTGGTATTGTTCCTAAAACATATTTTATTCTAATCCGGATATTTCACAGTTTTATGTGGGGGTTGACAGTTTTTGAACAACCGCGGAGTAAGACAATATTGCCGCTGAATAGACATTACTATTTTTGTTATTAATAATTTAGTTATTTTCACCATTGCAATAAATAACAGTCGTAAGAGATGAAAACAGCTAATCCATGGAACCTACATGTATTTGCACATTCAATAGGTTAGCTTTTTTCATCACAACGAGTTGTACATTTCCTCCTACGCCAGGGCGATGCTGTTTATATGACAGTGTATATATAAAATGCGTGTAAAGACTGAATTAGAGAGATTTTTAACGGATAACTATTTGGAAAATTATGTGTAGCTGTAGCTACACCTACCGTTTAGATCATAGAAAGCTAACAATTCTTTGTACACGTGGGTTCCGTGTCTCGCCTAGAAGATCGATATAATTTGCATACGAACTCCGCCCACCGTGGTTAAAAATAGCCACAGGGAAACTCGTCCAACCAGTTCTGTGTGTCTTGTTTTCAATGTGAAACAAGTTTATTTTTAGCAGACAGTATTCGCAAGCACTACACCCTATGTAAGGCTGGGAAGGGTTGTTCGGAAAGCCGGTGCCCCTTAAAACGGGACTTTTTAGGGTCTGTGTGGCCCCTTTTCGATTATTTAGACAGTACAGGTGCGAGATCACAGGTAAGTAATATTAATGACAGGTGCTAATTGAGAAATTACGACAGCAATTGTCCGCGATCTGCGAGCTACTGTTTCTGTTTTCTCCTCGGATGTTGCGGAATGGTAACATGTCTTCATCATAATATAGTTCGTAATATTTTAAAACGGATTTTGTTTTAGTAAAAAAACCTTTTAAATATGCAAGTAATTCTTCAGTTTTAAAGATAAATTCACGGAGCTGAAGATGGCTTTCATTCATACTAAATGTACACTTCATGATCATGTGTTGATAAATTAGCAAATTAAAAATACTTTAGGTACAAAACTTAATCTCAGAACGGCTAACGTAAGTTGTTTCTACAATGGCATGAATGTTGAAATAATAATTGATTTATTAAAATTAGTGGATAAATTGAAAAGAACTTCGGAAAAAATGTTATTACTGAATTTCAGTACAGAAATATATAATTAAGTTTGTTTCTTTAATAAAAAAAAATCATACATGGAAATAACATTGGTTTACGTTCAGTTATATTTCTTTACAGTAATTCTAAATCCTGGATAACAATCCCAATCTTTTACATCAATATGCCCGCCCTAAACCTGTTTTTGCCTCCCCCCCCCACACTTTCACACCCAAGGGTTTTATTTACAAGTTGAGTGAGTAGCCGGTAGAACTACCCTCATACCCTCCTACTACATATATTTCATCGGCTACTTTCATGTAAAATATAGAAGAATAGTATAAAATGCACTGAAATTAGCCGCCTAGCTATATTCTAGTTGCATGTATCTACCCCTGCTCATGAAACCCCAATATCGATATTGTTTACGACTTATACTTGACCCAACCCTACTATAGCAGAACCCAGCCCATATCCTAGCTGGCATCAATATCCATATATTCGTTGACATAATGCTCAACCCTCGGATATCATGGAACCCCCTACCCCCAGAGCACTCCATTATTTATTATAAATTATTACCCTAACCCTTAGACATAGTGGACCCCCCCCCCCCCCCACCCCCAACCATTGTCCCCAATGTCTCTCTATATATATCCCCATTTCAACTCCCATATCACTAACTTATATTTGTTAGGCATTTTATACTTGACTTACGAACTGACTTAAATGATGTTTTTACATGAATGATAATTGCATGTCATACCTGCTATATATCATTCTATGTTTTTATGCCCTGTAACCATACCCTTAAACTAAGGTGGTTTTAGGTATAGGGTCGATTCGACATCGAGAGTTTCCTCCCTTCTCGTATATTATCACCATTGGTGGTGGCATTTTTACCAAAAGTTGATCAAAGCCCCTAAAACATGTTGAATTACCCTGAACACCTTAGTTTATGTCCATATTTAGCTGTAACAAATTCTCAGGTCCCTGTGCCCGACCCCACAACTAGGCCTGGGCCGTTACATCAATAACCTACCCTGACCACCTCAACGTCACATCACATTACACATCATCAACTTACATGTACAATTCTGTTTTCAGATCATAGAATATCTGTGACCATGGTGTTTCTCTACCTCGCCACCATATTTGGTGTGGTGACCCTTGCGGGGGGTCAATCAACTCCCATCCGCACAGAGACATGTTCAGGAAACGGCCAGAGTGCGACTATCCAGCCCAATGCCGAGGCCTTCATCGGTGGTCTGGTCACCATGAACTACGTGGCGGACAGTGGATACGGGTGTGGAAATATTGCACCTCTAGGTCAGTAGACATTGTGAATTCTAATCTTTTAACAAATTGTGTTAGAACATTTTACTTAAGGTAGATAGTCATTGATTTTGTGAACTAGAAAAATACTTGAAATACTTAAGGCCAAGCAAAGCTATATTTGTGTATCTGGACTGACCCTAGATAGAGCATCCCTGGGAAAACTATCATATAAGGGATTGCCCTCTCAAATCATATGTTGTGATCCATTTTAGGGAATTACGGAGGGAGCTATTGCGTGGGCTCCAGGAAAAACAAGGGTTCATTAATAAAAATATGAAAAATGGATTTTTATCTAATTTGGCATGGCACACTCTAAATGAGGGTCCAATGAAGGATTTGAGGGGAGTGATGTCAAAATGACAAAATGTGTTCTAAATTTTAAAAGACACTACTAAAAAGGGGTGGGGTGGGGGGAAGGATGCAAGTAGTGTGTTAACCTTTAAAATAGGTGTGTTAACCTTTAAAATAGTACTTCTTATAATGAAGTTAACAAATAAAATACATTCTACAATTTGATTTGAGATGTGTATTTATCAACATATTTTAAAGCAGCTGCTTTAAGGTGAAAAGTACCATCATGAAATATTGAAGTCATTTTATACAAAGTTTTCTATTTAAAGCACATCTTTCAATGTATTTCTACAATAGTAGTTGTTCAAAATTTGAGTATAAAAAATAAAAAATAAAAATTACAGGGATCTAATTGGAAACATCTCCACTGTCAATCCTACACTTTACCGATGTTTTTTCGAGGAACTATACACCGAAAAGTGACATTAAGCGACGTGATATTAAGTGAAATGTACTGTAATTAGAAAGCATCAAAATGAGAGATGAACACCTCAACACATGCATACACCCCTGGAGACACATTTTAACTCTTCCAATTCAAAGTTTGGAATAGTTCATTATGAAATTTAAGGGGTGAATGTGTTAACCATGGGAGTGACTAAAAACCAGAGAAACTCCCTTTTTGTTGTTTCATCTTCTATAAGGAGAATTTGAAGGGAGAAGACTTCATTTAGATAAAACAACTGTACTTTGGTTTTTCTTAATGATTATAACTGGTGGTGGGTATACCCTTTGAATCAAAATGAATCAAATAAGAAAAGTTGAAAATTTAATTGTTCTGTTACCAATAATAATATGATGGAGTAATTGTGTTTTACAGAGATGCAGGCGTATGAAGCTATACGATGGGCACTGGATCGGCTCAATAAGAAGAATGAGGAGCTTAACGGAGAGTTTTTGAACAACAGTTACATTCCTGGGGTGGAACTGGGTAAGTTGAGATGTTGTCAATACAGTATAAATGCTGGACTGGATCTCACCTGTTTAAAGGGACTACCTGTTTATAAGGACTGTTTCTTTCACCAATCACCAGTGTCTACTGGGCTGTCGCTATAGACAGGTTTATATCATTACTATTATCATCTGTACATTTAATATACATTTGTGTTCTCTTGAGTGTAGGAGCAGCTTGTGTTTGTAAAGTCTGTTTATGATCGATGTCCATCTACATAACATTTAAGGCAAAATACAATGGGCCTGGGACCTCCATACTCTAGGACAGACGCTTTAACCAATAGAGCTACCTGGTAACTAGTGGTCGACCCAGTCAAGTTCTGCTACATTCCTCCTGCCTATAACAAAGTCCCCGAACCCCAACGACACCTGAGACCCCATACCACTTTCCGTGGGTATATTGAGTTGGGTGCCAAATGCATCGGGAGAAGAAAAACGCAAGACCAGTATTCAAACTGTAGGACCTCAAAACTCTAGATGGACAATATAACCAATTGCGCTACCTTGTCGCTGGCGATCGACCTGTTCCATATGTATAGGACAAACACATTGTCGGTACATCAGTGTATTATGTCGGTTGTTTGATTCTTTCCTCCCATTAGCTGTATTTCTGTGGTAATGAATTGTGACATCACATTTGAATTGAGATGAGTATTTTATTGTGTAGGTATGATGGTCCACAACTACTGCGACATGGGGGCCACCGCCGTGAGTTACGCCCAGGAGCTCTACCCACAGTTCCTGTCTGAGGCCCGCGACTGCACTAAAAGTTCGTCCAGCCTCACGTTGGGTAAGTCTGGCTCAGTGTCTGAGTGATCTATTGCAGTGACCCCTTGACCCCACATTTTATATGTAAACCTTGACCCTGATGGATTATGTTTACTTGACCTCACTTGTTGACATTTATCTTTTTATGTTGACCCCAACAGTTTAATTTTATTTCTTTATCAACTTTGACCCCATTGTATTGTATTTATAGATTAACCTTGACCCCTACAATTTGTATTTATATATACATTGTCCTTGACCCCTATATTTGTACTAGTAGGTGAACTTTGACACAAACCAATCCTATGTATAGATTGACCTTGACCCCTACAATTTGTATTTATATATACATTGTCCTTGACCCCTATGTTTGTGTTAGTAGGTGAACTTTGACACAAACCAATTCTATGTATAGATTGACCTTGACCCCTATAATTTGTATTTATATATACATTGTCCTTGACCCCTTTGTTTGTACTAGTAGATCAAAACTGACCCCCAAACAGTTTGTATTAGTAGGTGAACTTTGACACAAACCAATTCTATGTATAGATTGACCTTGACCCCAATGGTGTATTTTTCAGGTTTAACTGGTGCTAGTTCAAGTGGTGATACCAAGGTGGTCAATTCATTTACTGGTCAGTTTGACATCCCTCTGGTCTCTTACATGGCAACAAGTCAGGAACTGACCGCCGGAAACATGTATCCTGGCTTCATGAGGACAGTTTCCCCCGATGGACCCCTGATGGATGTAGGTATTCAAGGCTACTGATACGGAGATCAAATTTCCAGAATGTGAATTCTGTGAAATAAATCTACAATTTATAATTCCGTTAGTACAATTAAGGCATCAAATGCCCAAATTACCAAATTTTCCAGATGGGTTAAAAGGGAACTGATCAACATGTTTGTTTTGGTTAATCAGGGTATCTCTGTCCTGAAGTCCCGGTGTAAGATTCCATAATAGGTTCAATTAGTCCAGTAATGGCATGAAATTTGAAATGAAAGTGTTGTTTTTTTCAATGTTACAGGCTATCATCAAAGTGCTGGGGGAGCTGGATTGGAAGTACGTTGTAGTTGTTTACACCGAGAATACCTACGGAAGAGGTTCCCTGGAACAGATTCGTCCACGTCTCGTCGCTGCGGGAATCTGCCTCACATTGGCTGTTCCTGCGGATCCTTCCGACACCACCCCAGCAACTATGGCAGCCATTTTGGATAAAGTGCTAGCCACAGAAACGGTTGGAGTGATCTATCTGGGTGGATCAGGACATGGCATGAGTTTACTGAATCAGGGGGAAAACCATCAAAATGCTGGGAAGCTGCAGTGGATTTTCACCGACAGCTTACCACTGTCTATAACTTTTGAAGGGAAGAAATATCCTAGAGGGATGATTGCTGTGTTGTCTGGTTCCAGAAAAATTATAGAATTTGAAGATCATTGGGTCAGGATTGATGTCAACAACCCGTCCTCTGAGAACCCATGGTTCAAAGACTGGTACATGAACGAAAACAATTGTCAGCTAGCTGGCAACACGAACCCAGCTTTCACTTCCCTCCCACAATGCACTGCTCAAACCGAGTCCCAGCGACGTAACTCGTTCGTACAGGACCAGTTTGTTGAGCCGGCTGTCCATGCAGTGTATGCCTATGCACATGCACTCAAGACTGCCCATGCCGCCCTCTGTGGGGGCGTTTCTGGACTGTGCCCGCAGTTGGCGAGCCTGTCTCAGGAGGATTTCTACAACAATTATCTACGATCTGTCAACTTTACCTACACCAAAAAGGAGCGTGTGGAAAGTCTGGCCTCAGTGGGACTTGAACCATACAACGCACCAGCCCAGCTCGCCTTTGATGCAAACGGTGACATCATCAGTCCCACATACGATATCTACAACTTCAACGATTACCCCGGCGGTGCAACTTTCAAATTCAGAAAGGTAAGTTTACTAGAGTGAAGCAGCATTTCATATCCTGGGTTAAGTATGACCAAACCTTTGTTACTAGAGTCAGTAGGCTAGCAGAAATATGCAGAAGAATGTTTTAGGAAACTTTGTTGCTTGAACAGTCAGTAGGCTAGCAGAATTTCAATCGAGATCAGCCTAAACTGTTCAGAAGACCAACTGTGTTAACCCTTTCACCCCTATGTAACTTTAGTAGACTCTACCATGCATTGATCTGGATGAGTCCATTATGGTCTACAGTGGTGAAAGGATTGAGAGATATTTTTTTATAACTTCCCAAACTGTATTAACTAAACCTTCGCTAAGAGACCTGTCTCTCGTAGAAACTACATTAGGGGTGGTCACTTTGCACAGTTTAGATTTGATTTATCTTGTGAATTCATGAACCCCTTTCCTGTGACACTTTACACTACAACTTAAACTCCTATCTAATAAATTCCCCCAACGTAAAAATCGTTTGTTTTAACCCTTTCAACACTGTAGACTATAATGGACTTGTCCATATTAATGCATAGTAGAGTCCACTCAAGTTACACAGGGATGAAAGGGTTAAAGGCCATTTTTTCATTACAAAAGTTTTGTTCTCTGTGGGGTAGGGTAGTCTTTTTAAACAAGGTTCTTTCTCTGTGGGGTGATCTTTTTAAACAAGGTTTTTGTTCTCTGTGGGGTGATCTTTTTAAACAAGGTTTTTGTTCTCTGTGGGGTGATCTTTTTAAACAAGGTTTTTGTTCTCTCCCACGGTCTTTATAGACAGGGTTTTGCAATTGTCATTGGATGGTGTTGTTATAAACAGGTTTTGGTCTCCCTTGGGTGGTCTTTATAGAGAGGTTTATAAAAATCTCTGTTGGATGGTAATATCAGACTTGTAAGTGATTGAGCTCCATACCTTAGGAAACTGTTTTAGACAGATTTTATTGGATTATAAAAACTTTATTGTCCAAGGATAAAAGTTCTAAATGTGAACATTCATATAAGTTATGAAATGATCGAATCATCTCACAAAAGATTTTTTTTTGATGTGTAGCGTTATTTTGGAAAAGTGAGATATTGGACAGTGTGCTGTTTTTGTTACAGTTGGGATCCTACCTGAAAGGCCGTCTGGAGATTGTTACAAGTCGTATGAGGATGTATGACGAGACCCGTGACAACGCCCTAGCAACCCTGCCAGCATCCCCGTGTCCTGCCTCAGGATGTGGCCCCTGTCTGGGTCTTCTTGTTGATGCCAAGTACCTGTACGTTCCCGGAGACATCGTCATCAACGGCATTTTCTCTGTCCATGAAGAAGGTGAAAAATCACTGTCATGTGGGGACTTTAACGTTGATACGGAGTCTGGTATCCAATTCCTTGAGGGAATGGTGTATGCTCTTTCTAACATCAACAACCAACCAGCACAGACGCTACTACGGGGTGTAAGTCTTGGTGCACTGGGCTTCGACGACTGTATGGACAACGTGCTTGGAAGCCATTTTGTGACACAAGTTCAAACAAAATCACGTATGATCAAGGACATGAATGGTAACAGCCTAGACCCTCGCACTGTAGAAGCTTATATGGGAGCCGACGGCACAGATCTGACTGTTCCGTTGTCAAAACTAATGAATCTTATCAAACGACCTCTTTTGGGCTATAACGCGATGAGCGCAGAGCTACATGACAATGACTATTACCTTTACATGTCCTATAGCAACCGACTGTACATGAAGGCGTTCGTCCTGTTGCTGAAACGCCTAGGCTGGCAGTACGTACAGACAGTCCGCGACATGTCTATGGAAGCAAGGGATGCCATAGAAGAGTTCCGAAAGATTGCCGCGGATCATGGAATCTGTGTCGTGTCTTCCTACGAGTTTGGGACAGATGGTGATGTGGAAGACATTTTGATGATGTTAGAAGGCCAGTCGTCCGTCAGTCCTGTCCTGGTTGTCTCCCCTACAGAAGATCTGATTGGTCTACTACAGGAGGTCCAAAAACAAAACAAGACCGGCAACTTTGTCTTCATGGCTCCAGTGGTAAGATCTGAAAACGTATTCCAAGGTGTAGAAGTCGCAGCTAAAGGCCTTATCAGCCTGGACGTCCAGAGACCCGACCTGTCGGCATTCCGAGGCTATTTGAGTGGTCTGCGTACTGACACTTACACCACCAACCCGTGGTTTAAGGAGTGGTTTGAGAATATGCATAGTTGCTCTTTAGATGCAAATAACATGAGAAATTATACTACAATGTGTAACGCGTTGGATGTGACACTCGGCAAGAACTTCCAGTTCAATGTCAACAGCTATGCCACTATCTACGGAGTGTACGCCATAGCATACGGCCTTCACAACACTCTGCAGTATTACTGTGGGGTAGGCTACAATGGCGTCTGTGGTGACTACCTGACCGCAGCAGACAAGGGTGAAAAACTTGTCGAGATGATTAAACAGATGTCTTTTACAGTTGGTGGCTTGACCATACAGTTTGTGGACGGTCAAGCCAACTTTCCATTGCAGTTCTCCAATTACCATTCTGGTTTTGTTCCGGTAAGTAATCTTTCACAATTTGTACTATCATCAATCTTTCTACATTATTGATTGATTTACACATAGGTGTAAATTATTGGTAGTGAGGAGTGTAAATTGATAATTTAATTAAATATTACTTTAAATAATGATGAAATAATTACTCTAAATAGTTTATTTTTAATGAAATGGCTCATTCCAATTGGCTTATAATGTTTTACAATGTCCAATTCTTGTTTATGAATGAACTTTGTAATTTAGGAGGAAGAAACTAAAAATGTTTTATTTTGATATAAGTGAAAACATAGGCGAAGTTACATAAGCTGGTAGTCTTAGATGTCTGGGTGATTATTTTGCAGGTTGGGACGTACAACGCTATGACAAACAGTTTCGTGATCCAGACTGATCAGCTGAGCCTTCCGGGCGGCGTCCAGCCTGATACCGTGATGCCCTACTGTAAGGCCGTCTGCACACAGTGTCTGTACATGTTCGGCAATCAAGAATACATGTACATTGATGGCGATCTCATTATTCCAGGAATCTTTGACGTCCATTATCCAGGAGTGTCCGACTTTATGTGCGGAAATATACGCTCCAAGAACGGCTTTCTCAACACTGAAGCATTTGCGTTTGCTCTCCAACAGGTGAACAGCGGAGCTTCTAGTGTGAAACTGAATAACGTTAAACTGGGAGGCCTACTTTTTGATGGGTGTATGAATACGATAAGAGGTCATGTGATCGCCTCATCTGTCTATTACGGATTACTGCCAAGGGAAAATGGAATGCCTAAATATCCGCTGGACAGACTACTTGGATGGCTGTCTTACGAGAGCGACACCACCGTGAACATTGCTGAATCTCTCGGACATTTTGGGATCCCTGTCATTTCGCCCGGTGCTACCACACCTGTTCTGGATGACAAGTCACGTTTTGACAAGTTCTTCCGTACTCTTCCTTCAGACGGAGTAACCACCCTTGCCATGGCGCACGTTGCTAAGGAAATCGGTTTTGAGTATATTATCACTCTGAATGCTCCAGATCAGGGAAGTCGGGATTCCGTGAAGCTGTTTAGACAATATGCACGAGACAATGGCATATGTATTGGAGCATCATATGAGTTTGTAACCGATGGCCCCATGGCAACTTTAATCCAATACATCACCGAATCATCGAGTCGCGTAGTAGCTGTCTTCAGTGACCCTGACCGATATATTGAGGAACTTCTGATAGCCAAAAATAACAATCCCCTGGCAGGAAACATAGTGTTCATGGCTAACAGACCCTGGCAGAACCCCGTAATCAGCACGACGTCTCTGTTCTATGCCACAAACACGTTGACCTTCGGCTACAAGTTCCCTGCCCTGGCAGAGTTCCGCAACTATCTGTCTCAGAAATACCCGATAACCTACACAGACAACCCATGGTTCAGTGAATTTTATCAGAAATATTTCTCTTGTAATCTGGATGGTAACTGGATGTATGGACAGAACTGTGGCACGACGTCTATCGTCACCAGTAAGTATTGTAGATATACATTACACACCCCGGGGAAGTACACAGTCTAAGCCTGACACCCCAGGGACCATATAATTTGTGGGGAAGTACACAGTAAACCAGACATCCCGGGGACCATATAATTTGTGGGGAAGTACACAGTAAACCAGACGCCCTGGGGACCATGTAATTTGTGGGGAAGTACACAGTCTATAAACCTGACACCCCGGGGACCATGTAATTTGTGGTGAAGTACACAGTCTAAACCTGACACCCCAGGGACCATGTAATTTGTGGGGAAGTACACAGTCTATAAACCTGACACCCCGGGGACCATGTAATTTGTGGGGAAGTACACAGTTTAAACCAGACACCCCAGGGGACCATGTAATTTGTGGGGAAGTACACAAGTCTAAACCAGACACCCTGGGGACCATGTAATTTATGGGGAAGTACACAGTCTAAACCAGACAACATGGGGACCATGTAATTTATTGGGAAGTACACAGTCTAAAACAGACACCCTGGGGACCATATAATTTGTGCAGAATTACACAGTCTAAACCAGACACCCTGGGGACCATGTAATTTATGGGGAAGTACACAGTCTAAACCTGACACCCCAGGGACCATGTAATTTGTGGGGAAGTACACAGTTTAAACCTGACACCCCGGGGACCATGTAATTTGTGGTGAAGTACACAGTCTAAACCTGACACCCCGGGGACCATGTAATTTCTCGGGAATGCAGAGAATTCCGGATTGTAGAGACAATAACTTATTTGCTGTCATTTTCAGAACCTAAATTTTAACAGGTATTTAATTAGACAAATATCTGGATTTGATAGAGTCTGGTTAGACAGAGTCTAGTTAGACAGAGTCTGGTTAGACAGAGCTGACATGTTGTTACATCGGCTTACTACCTAAATCTACAAATCTCATTAACATTGACAGTTTTCTTTTATTCTTCTTTAAAAAAAAATAAAGGTATTTCATATATAGTATGCAGTGTAACGAATCAATGTAAGAAAAGTTTTCGCTTTGCAGGTGACTTCCTCGAAGATTACGCTACACTTCCCACAATTCATGCTGTGTATGCGATGGCTGAAGGTGTCCACCGTACTCTCATTAAGAAATGTGGAGCTTCCTACAGCGGCGTCTGTTCTAGGTAAGTACAGATATATATAATTACAGCTTCCTACAGCGGCGTCTGTTCTAGGTAAGTATAGATATATATAATTACAGCTTCCTACAGCGGCGTCTGTTCTAGGTAAGTATAGATATACATGTATAATTACAGTAACACAAATATATTGAAGCCAGCTTGCCTGTTGTTGGAACTTCGGTGAACAGTTTTTGATGTATACCTAATGAATAATGCGTCATTGATTAACTACCTGACTGAATATGCATGTATTTTTTGTAATTTTCACTTTTGGATGGAGGAAGGTATACTGGCGGAATAAATCTCTCATAATTGTCCATCTCCATAACACATTGTTGTTTATCGACAATCAGCTGAAGTGTGGGAATTTATCGTTAGTCACACAATAATTAATAGTTGTCTTGTATATTGATTGATACAGTCCTTCATGTACATCTCTATTGAAATGATGCTAGCTTCCATTAAACACAGGCAGTCATGCTAAAACACTAGTTTTGTGAAACTCTGAACAAATGCTTCTCCGGCTTACAATGCTTTTCTTAGTTTATCAAGAAAGTAAGATTATTCTGTTAATTACATTTTCTTTATAATTTTTGGACACATACAGGCTAATTATTGTGAATAGGTGATATAAATCCATGTAGCAAAAAGTGCTGGGACGTTGCAAAAACAAAAAATGCCAGGGCCGTTGTGAGGTCACAATTGACAATGATGTTCATTATTTGTTATTTTTCACAGTAAACCCTGATGTCTGATTGGTCAGTTGATCGTGAAAATAGCATAAAGTGGTATTAATTACCACAGCAGAAAATGTCCACGTTATTTCCACCGTAAAAACTTCACAGGTAAAAATGTATATAAGCGACGTTTTTGTCTTGTTTAGCTTCCTGTCGGACACAGACACTTTTGCTCAAGTGATGACGCACATGGACACCCTCAACCTTACAGACGTCCTTGGTGACCTTTTCCAGTTCGTGAAGCGAGAGAGTAACAGGGGGGTGACAATAGACAGGATTGAGGCCGGCACCAGTTTGTTGGTAAGCTCATCTCGTCTGTGTTTTCATTACTTGATGTTTTTATAGTCCCTCATCTGTTCCACTAGACAGGAATTTATTACTACATCTTTAATAGGATTCAGCAGTTTGGAAATATGTAATGATCAAACAATGTATGCATGAAATTAATATTTGATACTTTAAATTAATATTTAATACTTTAAATTAATATTTAATACTCTAAATTAATATTTATTACTTTAAATTAATATTTAATACTCTAAATTAATATTTAATACTTTAAATTCTTTAATGCGTAGGACTACATTTACATTGTGTATAAAGAAAAACTTTGATATTTTTTTGATGTTTATATAAAAAATAAATATTACTTATTACTACATTTTCATATATGATATTCTGTTACTTTCAGTTGCTAAATTTTGTTTGCATGTAGCTCTCAGTATCATGGAGTAACACAATTAAATCAAGTCTCATGCCCTGTGACTACCTATACAGAGTTACGGCCCTTTGTTCATTCTGATTGTGTAGAGGTTTAGGGACAAGTGGCTTGCTCAAATTTCGTTTAGTCAAAAAATGTTTTTTAGAAAAAGAATTCATTGTTCTAGCTGATTGTCTTTCAAAGAAGCAAGAGGAGATATAATAAGCTTGCATGTATACAACTTTATAAGTTCAAAAATCCAACACAGCGACTGGCCTGGCTATGGTGGCCATATTGAATATCAGATCTTTGTAAGTTAGAACTTTAGCTGGTTTAATGATAAGCTAGTATGTATTTGTAGGAAGTTTCACAAAAATCAGTTTCTTTCAAGGGTTATGACACAGTGAATCAAGACAGAGTTATTGTTATCAACACTTTGAAAAACACCGATATACTTGATCTGCTTGTATTTGAAAATAAGCAAGTCAGTTTGTATTCCGTCTTTGCGTATTGCAGAGTTATCTTCTCTTGGGAGCAGGTATTGATTGTTACGTCATTGGTTTGTGTGAGAAAATTACGTCGTTTTCTCAAAAATTGATGACGTTACTCTCACAAACAAGTGACGTAACAATCAATACCTGCTCCCAAGAGAAGATAACTCTGCAATA